CACTTGCCAGTGGCCCCCTCGTGTCTCGACCCAATCTCAGACGTAAATCAACGACCTGCCGGCCCGACCTTTTCTCTGCCCGACCACCGAACTCTTATGCAGACCGACCTACGACCTATAAGCTGTAACTAACCAAGTATTTCTAACCTCCGTCCTTCACCACCTTGACGGCGTGAGTAAATAATCTTGCTTTGCAACCGATAAGCGTCCGCCTAATTAATTCCACTCCAAGCGTCACAAGTACCCGCCTGACGGCTTCTAAGGTCCCGACCCCCCCGCTGCAGTGCACGGCAGCGACAAACATTATGAAGAAAACTAATAAACCAGCCATTCACTTTTAATTTACAAGCTCTCACTCATCCTCTAACATTTACACTGTCAAATACAACAATAGGAAATTAAATACAATGTACAAATAAAATTGTCTGCACGTAGCACCTCACAAATTACTACATGAATTATTCTTTTTACACTGTGGTAGAGCCAAAGGCTTGTAATCTGATTTGGGCCTGATTGTTTTGAGCACTGTACAAACACAAAAGTCACAGCCTCAGCCTCAAAGAGCTTAATGTAAAATTTAAAAGCCATTGTAACTAGGACTGACTTAATTCCATAATATGCTCATTAGCAAACACGGCCAGCAACCAGGAGGAGGGCGAGAATAATATGAAATAGACCTGCAGAACTTGTGCAACAATTCAAGTAGACAGAAGAGAAGCCCTAGCAGTACTAGTGGCCATCAAAAATTCAAATATTACAGTGTGTAAATGCAATTCTTAATTCTTAATAATTCATAATTCTTAATAATGTATGTATTTGCTTTAGTACTCATTCATTACATAATTATTACGCATTTCTTTACGTGCTTATTTACAGCAACAGTCACTTGATAGTAGGCTAGTGAGGGGACTGTCACTCAATGAACATGAGTCCCCTCAGTGATACACTTTATACTGCGTAGTGTACTATTGAAAATAGCCTCAGCTGCATTTGTGGCCTGGCCAGCAACCAAGGAAGAGGGCGAGAAGAAAGCCTTGCCCTCCTCCTGGCACAGCATCAGGCTCAGAATTCGGTACTTTTCCCCAAGCCAGAAGGTCCAGTCATGGGAACAGAGGGACCTAGGGAGGAGTTTACTCATTATTATGACCAGTAACCAGGAGGTAGGGGTGTGCAAAGCAGGCAGTATTTGATTCAGATTTGGATTCGGCCTGATTTGGGGGACAGTGATTCGATTTACTGATTCGGATCACTGTCCCAATTCGATTCGACTGGATCTGAATCTGAAGATTCAGTGCTGATTCAGAGAATCGGTGATTTGGCCACAGAGACAGCTTTATATGTTTTTTCTACATACCTCAAGGTACCAGGCACAGCTTGTGAATGCTGAAATGGTGGGGTGGATGGAGTGTCCACTTCCAGGTCCACCGCCAAGCATGTGGCGGACTCCCCTCCCCGCACTGCCTTGGCTTGGTGATCGGCTGTGGGGGACCCCGGGTACGTCTCCGGACCCAGAAGGCACCAGTCACCAAGCCAGGGGCCATGGAGGGCCCCGCACACTCTGCCTCAGACCCAGAAATGGACTGGAAGTACTTCTGGTCCACTTCAGGGTCTGCCACCGAGCGTGCAGGGGATCCCCCTGCGCTCCCATGAGAGACTCCATCTGCCCCACCATCACAGCATTCATGAGCCATGCCTGGTACCTGAAGGGACATAGAAAAAACATATAAAGCTGTGTCTATGGCCAAATCTTTGAATCTCTCCGAATCTCTCTGAATCAAATTGGAGGCTTCTGATTCGATTTGGAGAGATTAATGGGTCTCCTGATTCAATTCGGATTCAGAGATTTGGCTGCCTGGCGGCCAAATAGGGCCGAATCTCCTCCAAATTGAATCAGAGACCAAAGCTTCACACAGCCCCACCAGGAGGTGGGTAATCACTCCAACCCACCCTGCCATGGGGGAAGAGGCAGGGAGGGACGGCACATAATCACCTGCCTTATGCTCACTATCTGCTTTTTCATCATAAGGAATCGAACTGTAATTACAAGTCTATATAACATAACTCTATATCATATATTGGCTATATATATATGGTGGAGACCCAGGATGTGTGTGATATGTGCCCAGGATGTGTGGTATACAAGCTGCAAGAGGCAGCTGGGAGTGGGTGATAAGGCAGATCTACCTGCTTTGAAATGCTGTGGTAAGGAATTGAACTGTTACAATTATTATTGACCATTAATAAATCATCATTAATATTAATATTATTACAAACTCTTATTAATATATTACTATTGGAATTAATATTATTATTGACTCCTATTATTAGTTTTACTTGTTATTATATTATAAGTCTATATAAGTCTATAGGATAAAAGTCAACTATAATTATAATGCATAATAGTTCAGTTGTTGACAGAATCCTGAAGGAAGTGTTGTCATCCTCTTCATCTTCTCTTTCCTCCTTTCTCTTTGTGCCTCTTGTCACACCAACAGGAACTGATCAGCCTGCGGCTTGCAGTGGAAGGGGATCTAAAAACCGGAAGGAGGGAGGGAGGGAGGATAGAAAGAGCATTGGAACTTGTATTGGTGCCTCTTGTGCACCTCGTGTACCTTCCTTCATGCCCATAAAATTCCACCAGCCCCATTTACAGTAAATTTGAACTAAACAATGTGTCCCTCCCAACCAGAGATGACCCTATCAGGGTGCAGGGCAGTGGCATAGCAATAGTGGTGGGTGGGGAGGCTGCCCTGGGCACAGACACAAAGGGGGTGCCATTGGCAGGTGCCTGGGGGGTGCCACCACTCCACAATGCTTGGCCTCCTTCCCCCCCACCCCGCACTGACGAAGCCGCCACCATAGGCGGCCTGGCCCGGGAT